TGTGTGGTGGAACTAAAGTCTGATTCAACACTTGATTATATTTCACATCATTCATCCACATCTGTAAAGTAACTAAAGGTATTAAACTATACATGTAGTGGGGTAAAAGTACACCATTTACCTCTGAATTGTATTGGGGTAAAAGTACAGAGTAGCAAGACATTGAAATACTCAAGTACAAATACCTCAACATTTTACAGTAGGCTCCTTGAGTAAATGTACTTAGTTACTTAACACCACTGGTCTCTTCCTCACATAACAGGAGAGAAGGTAGAAGCTATAGAGATATGAAGGGGCAGCGGGCCCTGGGCGGTCCTGTGGGGACCCTCGGGGGGGTTACCTGTTGATGTAGGCGTAGCTGATGCAGCCGGTGAAGTTCTTGAAGCTGCTGGTGTGTGTGTGTGTGTGTGTGTGTGTGTGTGTGTGTGTGTGTGTGTGTGTGTGTGTGTGTGTGTGTGTGTGTGTGTGTGCATGTGTTAATGTTGACATGTAGTGTAACACTTTGAGTATCAGAAAACTAAGGGTTAAGCAATCAAATAATCTTGAAATTGAGACAAATTGTTCTTTCTAAGAGGAGTCTGAGTCATACAGTTGAGAGGACACTGTATGAAGAGCTGGGTAAAATCAAAACCCAACATAATTTTGATACATAAGACAGCTGTTGGCAGCTGTGATGTCGGCATACTTACTTCTGACTGTTTACTGAGGCCACTAAGAAGTGTGTCCTTCCATCATTGTATTGTTTCTTGTGTGATTTAACCCGCGTGCCTCTGCAGGTCAGCACCACGGCTCCATTCTCCAGGGATATGCTGAACTCTTCTGACTGAAGTAGGAGAGAATATTGTAAAAGCTAGAACTTAGCAGCACAATTACAACTTGTTACAAACTCCTCCAAGGAAGTATCTTGATCCGTCTTTCATGACAAAATTATACTTCTGTTTATCCTATAGTACTAGACGCCTGGTACTAGACTCCTGGTGCTAGACTCCTGGTACTAGACTCCTAGTACTAGACTCCTGGTATTAGACTCCTGGTACTAGGATGGGTTAAATGCAGAGGCCAAATGTCACTGTGTGTGCTGTGTGCCCTGCATGTGTGACCATTAAAGAGGGTTTCATCCCTCCCAATTCTATTACACAAAGTGACTTTCCTATGGTGTGTAAAGACAAAGATTAATGTATACCCCTTCATTCATGTAGAACAGGAGTCCGGCCGCCTGCAGTGTTCTGAAATTCAGTCCTCCCTCAAAGTTGTCGAAGGGTGAGATCTTGGCTGTTGATCCCAGGTAGCTCTCACCAGTGAAATAGGCTTTACGGGACATCTGTCACAAGAACAACAAATAGCACTTTCAGCACCTGTTACCTTTCACCCTCCGTTCAGCTTACAGTTCAGTAATCCCCCAATAAGACTATGAGTAGACTCACATGAAAGCTGTTGAACTATATATCGATTATTTTCTCTTGGTTAACGAACAAACGATAACGATAATACTTTAATGCCCAGATCAAGTCTGAAATTTGACTTGCATCTCAGCAGCTCCATTTGTAACATCAACATGGACAAAAATACAAGACACAATACATGAAAAATGCACAAAGATTGAGATGGATTGTTTTACTCATTGTGAGATCCATCACCCACAGTACATTGGTTCCACAGGCACACATGCAGAGCAGACAGAGTGTGAAAAGGTGGAGCAGCACTCACAAAGGACTCCTCGGGGCAGCCACTGCTGATGCCAATGGTGCCAGGCTCCTCCAGCAGATTGAAGTCTTTTTTCTGGAACTGGAACCCTTTCACACAGCCTTTCAGACCCAGGACAGCAGACAGCTCCGGCCTATGGTCATACACTTCCTGTCAGCATCTTTAGGGAAATTCTCAGCTGCACTAGACAATGTGTAATATAATTGTTGCTGCCAAATTTCAAAGGGGGGGGTTTCTCATATTTAGACGCCAACTCTCACATTTTGATATAGTCACCAAAAGGATATCTTTTGACAAACTGAAATGTAAATGTAAAAACTGTAAGTGGAATCCAAACGTTTTTACAATAAACTGTATAGACATTTTCTCCTCGGAACAGGTCTGCAACCAACCAGCTGTCTCTTGCAGATAAGAATGGCTGTTGCCACTTGGAGGGAATTGTTTCTACGTGGAAAACAGACCTCAGTTGTATTGAACAGTGTTCCATGTTTAATAAGATTTGTAAGTATTGTTAACTCACCTGGATTTTAAAATGCTTGAGGGAGCCCCACCTATGTAGATATCGGAGAAAGGCAGTGTAGTTTTTGGATTCTCCAAAGATTTAACATGGCTCTTGTCCACCAGCAAGATAACCTTCTTTGACTGATGGTAGATTACTGACACCTGTGCAAATGGCAACGCATAATTCATTTACAAGTTCACGTTGACTTCCAGTTCAAATTGTCCAACTAGCCAAATGAGAAGAGGGAATCTACCTCATGGTATCGTGCATCATTTATTTGCAGCTTTGGTATTTTATCCTCTAAAAGTTGAGGCCCTTTGCTGAAGCCAAAGTCATACATCAGGCGCAGGTAGCCATTCTTTAACTCTAAAAGGAAGAAATTATCCTGGAAAGAAAGATTTTTTAAAACATTACAAAACTGAAAAAGGAAGAATTAAGTCAGCGTGTGAAAACAATGTTACTAGTGAAAGAAAAATCAAAATTAAGTACAAATTGTTCTAAAATAAATCAAAGTTCCTTTGTGTAACATTAAAGCCAGTCTCACCCCCTGGACCATAAGGAGAAGGACGCCATCGTTTGCCACAGTTCGCACTGCTATATCAAATCTGGTGACCACACCAAACCGGCCCCTCCTCTCAATATTATTGATGAGTGCGTAGCCCGTTCCATCAAACAGGTAGCTGGCAATGCGACTCTGGGAAAATGCCAACTTGTACCTGAGAGCAGAAGGAGAAATATTATTTGATATAATAAAATGAACATTATATGTGATGAATTCAGAATGTCCCAGATCTCCTGGGGGCCCCGAAAGTCCCGGCGTTTTTTTCTGTATGCTTCCAATTGGTTTTGTTATTTTAATCAACAGATTCTTTGTTAGGGAATTTCAACCAATCAAGTACATTATTAACTAAGCAGCTAAATCTAGTTATAAAGCTTTATTAGTTTAGTTCTTATTGTACTCACATTGTGAAAATAAATATAGTGTATTTACATCCAATACATCTGACTGAATTAGCTGGGTAGGTGAGGATGAGTCAGGGCCCACAGCACATGTCTGCCCCGGGGCCCTGTAACTGGTAAATCATGCAAATGTGTACTGTACCTGGGGCACGGTGTTGATGTAATCAATTCCATTTTGTGAGTGTCTTTGAAATTGTAAAGACTGATCACGTCATTGTTCAGCGAACCCAACTCGATGCAGCCCACAAAAGGAGCAAGACTCAGAAGAGGTGGGAGCTAGTCAATCAAAAAAACATCTCATTTTATTTCGGAAAAAGCATTGAGTTAATGATTCAATTAATGATGGACTCTTGTGAAAGGCCTTACCCTGATATCCGATGGGACGCCACCTACAAAGAACACAATATCCTTGGGGTCGATGTCGAACAGTGAGTCAGCGCCCGGAGCTTCTCCTTTCTGGATGAACTTTTGCTCATCTGTGGAGCTCTGGCTGGGGATGGTCAGAAAGACTTTTCCATGTCTGCCCAGCCTGCAAGCAAAGAGCACCAAGGAGCATGAGAGACGATCTCATGATTTATGGAAGTAGACCTAAGACCTTTTTATAGCTTTGGTAAAAGCATTGAACATTGAAATTACAAATTCGTTGAAATCATAATTGTTTTACTGTGGCAACTTTAACAAATCTGTTGTACGAGAGATAACAACCTAAAGTGTACTCCTAAAGTGTATTACCTCTCTACTTTGATGTAGTTGAAGACTGCGGGCCACTGGCTCACAGGCTTTGAACTCAGTGGAATCTCAACATCTTCTCCCCCCAGGTTGTACACGTACACCAGGTTGTCATTCTTGATAGCCAGTCCCATGTAGTCTTTCTTACCCTGTGAGCAAAACAGCAGAACATCCTCATGGTGAGTTCAAATCCTGTTTCCCAATCATGGCCTTAGTATTTCGTCATTTTACAACAGCTGCATTAGTTTCCTACTGAGAAATGACTTGATTTGTTATGAATGTTTTATGATCTTTAACCCTGAAATGTAGTGGTTTGAAAAACATCACTCATTTCAGATTAGCTATAGTGCTCATGCTGAGACTATTGTTCGACACTGAAAATCCAGGGACAGAAACACTGGATACATGACAGTGGCAGTGAAATCACCAAGTTGAAGTGTTCAGGAGAACAGAGAGGCCTCAAATTGCTTTCTGTGTCCCGGTAAGCAGGGGCTAACACTGTCTATGTAAATTAGGTCTAACTTTGAAGCCACACACATACACTATTGTCACTACCATCTGTTGGAGACCTTTTGAAAGGGCAACTGTGCGTTTTCAAAGCCTGTCATTCCTGCCACTGTGATCATAACATAGACATTAACATAACTATTCATGTCCACAAGTGGCCCCCTGCCTTTATCTTCGCCCTGATCCACTTGTTTAGTGTTGTCAGCTAACAGTACATGCCAGGTTGTTCCCCACAAGTAATCAGAGGTCGGAGAAGTATTCAGATCATGTACTTGAGTACAAGTTGAAGTACCAGAGCGTAGGAATACTCTGTAACAACTTGTTAGTTATAAATAACTAAGTACATTTACTCAAGTACAATTCAGAGTTAAATCCTGTGCTTTTACTCCACAACATTAATGTAATACCTTTCGTTACTTCCCAGATGTGGATGACTGATGTGAAATATAATCAAGTGTTGAATCAGACTTTAGTTCCACCTGGAGTAAATTCACAAGCTACCCTGCAGTAGACAAAGTCATTCAAACTAGCTGCACCTTTACCAGCTTTGAGAACACTTTCATGATCAATCATTATAAAACATATCATATATATTATTCTGAAATGGACCAATCGGCACAATGACTACTTTTATTGTCGCTGCTTTAACTATATTTTGATGATAATACTTTTCTACTTTTNCCTTCCTTACATCTCAGTGTGAACATAGCCTGTGTTTGTTAAATGTACCCTGAAGAGTTTGCATTATAATATACTAATAATAATAATAATGGGGAAGGAAAAGAGTGATGGACACGAGAAATGTTTTCTTTACATCCAGGTTTAGCTTCATACTCTTAAATGCTATGTATAGCCACATGTGAAAGGAGTACTGAGATATTACACTTAATGAAGTACAAGTAATAATACCTGCTATGTATCTCACAGTAATCCATGCGCATACATTCATGGATTTTACTTGTATTGATCCTCTTAATCTGCAACTAAGTAAGTTACTGGGGGAAATACTCTTCTCTATAGCACACAGAATGACAGGTAAAAAACAATATTGTTCAAGTGCAATACTAGTGGCTGACTATACTTAATACAAGAGGTGGGAAGTAACTAAGTACATTTACTCAACTGCTGTACTTAAGGACAATTTTGAGGTACTTTAGTTGAGTATTTCCATTATATGCTACTTTGTTCTTCTACCCCTCTACAGTTCAGAGGTAAATGGTGTACTTTTACTCCACAACATTTATTCAATACCTTTAGTTACTTCTCAGATGTGGATTAATGATGTGAAATATAATCAAGTGTTAAATCAGACTTTAGTTCCACCTGGAGTAAATTCACAAGCTACCCTGCAGTAGACAAAGTCATTCAAACTAGCTGCACCTTTACCAGCTTTGAGAACACTTTAATGATCAATTATTATAAAATATATCATATATATTATTCTGGAATGGACCAATCGGCACAATGACTACTTTTATTGTCGCTGCTTTAACTATATTTTGATGATAATACTTTTCTACTTTTACTTGAGCAACATTTTGATTGCAGGACTTTCACTTGTAAGTTGTTATAATGGCTCCCATCTGTATCCACTAAGCATTCCTTCTGGTAGGCTTTAGTTATATAGTAACTGATTAGCCTACCCCACATGGCAAAGCAACAAACTTATTTTGGGTTCCTCACATTTCTGTCTCCCAGGTATAAGATGAAGCGGTCCTCAATGGGATCCTTGTCAGGGTCCACTCTCATGAACAAACTGATGGACGTCACTGTCTTCAGGTCTTCCAGGTTGCTGTGAGGATGGACCTCCACTGAAGACTGGCCGTTAAACTTCATGGACACTTGCACCTAATGAAAACAACCAGAAAAGGTCATGGTGAGATACATTTGAGGATTTGTTTTTCTAGCAAACATTGTAAATGTAAAGGCGATTCATTCAATATCCTAAAGAGGAAAACTCCCTGTTAGCTATAAGCATCTGACTATTTGGTAAGAGACCTGGATTTTAATGAGGTAATGGTTTATTAATGAATAGTTCAAAGGTTTCAGCCTCTGTGATCCATGATGGTGATCAGTTTGTAATGTGATGGGACGGGAAATGCATCGCCGTGTTTTTCTAAAAAGGTAGGCTGCCCATCGAAGGTTTAGGACAGGCTCACACTTCTTACCTGCTAGAGCTAACTTTGTGTAGTTTCCATTAGCTAACTTAAACTGACAGATGCTGTAGTATGGACTCAAAAAAGTTTGGGAAATGCGAGGTTGATGGCTCAGTAATTTTACTGTTTTTTCAGAAGGTTGCTACATTTACAAATGGTTACAATGTCTATATAAGTTCTCATAAGAATGTGGCAACGTGGTCTGTGTGTGCATCCTCAATTTTAAGTACAAAAGTTCTAAAGCCAGGGCTATTCAATTACAAATTCAGTTGGGCCAGATTTTAGAACTAGAACATTCAGCTGGGCCAGACATTCAGCAGCCTGTAAAAAGCAGGTTTAAACCAACACATACAGTATTACTGCGATGAAAAACATGCAATTTGTATTCATTGTTCATCTAACAAAGGCACGTCAAAAACTGCATAAAAACACAACAAATCAGCATTAATTTAACAGAATCTGAGGCATCTCAAAGTGCATAAAAAACAAAAAGTGCACAGTTGTAGCATTTGTGTGCTTTAGAAGTAAAATATTCAGGTTATTTTTTGAACCAGTCACATCACGTGCATGTAACTGAATACAATAATAGCAGTCTTAATAAATGTCTTCATACATACAAAATACAATTGGTTACATATGACACATGCATAAAAAAGTGCCTTAACAAACAGTTAAAGAGCTTCAATGTAACAACAAGAGGTATTACTGTAGCAATACTGTTTTTTCACTTTTCAAGTAATAACCAAAATATCATACGTGTTGGTCACATTTGACCCTGACACATGACAAAGTGCATTTCAATGAATACAAAAAGAACTGTCAAACCCTTCAGTGCAAAAACCCATAACAAGGGATAAGGGTAACTAACATTTGAATGAATACTACACTCAGGGCCGTCCCTGGCCAACTTGAGGCCCCACGCAAAGTTAGATGATGAGTGATGAGGCCCTCTGACGACGACGACGACGACGGGGGGGTGCTACTGTAGCCTCGTTGTAACCGTGCCGCGCCACACTAATTGCGCCGCATAAACGCATAGGCCTACGTGTGCCGCATTTGCGGCTCAGTTGAGGCTCCCTCTGCAATGTGAGGCCCCACGCAGTCTGCGTGATCTTCCTGTAGGGAGGGACAGCCCTGACTACACTACACGTCTACTATAGTAAACTAGGTGCTTACTGTCACCTCATTTGTGATTTGTCATCGCTGACTTTCTCAATGGGAGAAGTGACATTTTTTGTTTTGAACAAGAGCAGTGATTTTTGGCTCATAGGATGTCAATGCAATCCTAAGACATTGGTGAAGAGTGCTGTCAGTCAGGGAGCAGCGAGTGCTACTTTTTATTGAGTTCATGTGTGAAAAGCTTGATTCACATGTGTATGTTGATCCAAACATACTGAGCACACAGATCGCTACTTTCTGAACGTTAGGGAACTGCTGTTTGTTGACGTCACTCCAAAACTTTGCGCTGCTCTTGTGCCATGGTTACGGATGAATGCATGTCAATAAGTTCCAGTGTAAATTTCCCCTCGTCGATGGAGGGGACCACTTCCTTTGCTCTGGTGGATACGTCCCCCTCTATTGCAACAGTGAAGGGGTCTCTGGCAAAGCCCATCACCTCTGTGGGCAGAGCAAGTCCATCCAATCCACCGGCAAAGTTCTCTTTCAACCTCGCAATGAAATCTGTCATCACATCCGTGATTTGTGCCGGGGATGTGATGTGTTTGTGGAGCGTCGGAAAATGCAGCATCCAACCCGTACTCAAGTCGGTCGCGAAAAGGTCCAGCTTGACCTAGGTGCGCCGCATTTACGGCTCAGTTGAGGCTCCCTTCGCAAGATGAGGCCCCCTCCGCAAGATGAGGCCCCCTCAGCTTTACAGTTTTTTTAGAACTGACATGCTCCAGGCTTTGCTGTTATTGTCTTAGTTTTGAAGCTAAATCCTGTTTATTATTTTTCCTTGCAGTTGTCTCAGGCCTCCCTGCGAGGTGAGGAGGCGGCGGTGTGAACCCGGCTTCTCCTTTAGCGAGGAAGTCTGTCGCTGCGTACCGTCCCACTGGAGGCGACTGGACTGACGGCTGCTAACGTGCTAACCAGATGCTAATGAGCATATCACAGACTCAACAAATAGAATGAATCACCAATCCTGCTGCTGGTCATGAGTATCCCCACCAGCTGTGATGGCAGCTAAGTGTGTGGACCCTGATGAAGTTGGGAAACGTCAGAGAGCAGATCTGGGGGGCTCTAGGGATTTGATGCACTGCCTATGAGGACGTTTTAAAGGAAGAGCGGCTGAGCGAGCCAGAGAAGGAAGGACTGAAACACTCGACACTTAAAATACTGTTTAATTATTTTTATATACATATTTGGAGGTTTTCTATTAATGATGTCTCAATATTCTATTCAGATATTGATTATATAATTTATTAATGTTATTTTCAGCCTTTGTTTATTGCAATTTCAATATTTTTCCATGAAAATACACTGTGATCCATATTTTTGTATCATGTACAGTAAATATATATATAAATGTGTAAAATAAAGTACTGTTACATACTGTAAACCAAGTTTATTCTGGTGCATATTAAAATGTCGTTGTTCTGTTATAAATCCACCTTGGTCTCTGAAAAATTTTTAAAACTGTAAATCAATGAATTGTAAAGTTTTGTAAGGAAGAAATACTACGGTCAAATGTAAAGTGTGCCTTACTTATATTGTAAAGACATGTTGGACTTGTAGAAACACCCAGGTTCTCCTTCTATTGATACAATGTACTCATATATTTAAACTGACATCGGAAGAGTTTTATACCTAAGAGATAAAAAAGGAACATATTAAAGAGCACTCAATTGAGAGAAGCTTGCTGTTTATGTGTCTGTTTGATATATAAGGGTTTAATTAAATTCATAATCTCACATATAGAATGCATTTAATATGTTGAATATGCTGTGGTTTATAAATATAAAATATATAAAAGCGCTGTTTTTTGAATGGAACAAGTATTTCTCAAAGATTTAATACAAATAATACTTGACAGTTTATTTTTAAACATCACTGCAGCATTCCCACATTCAGAGGATGCTCGAGTTAAAACTTGTAGGCCTCAAAGACATGTCATGTTATTGTTTCCTCCTCATTTCCTTCCTGGACATTCTCCAGGAATGAGGCGTCCTCCCTGCGGCTGCAGTGCGGCTGCACTGCGGCTGAGGACAGATGAAGGTTAATGTCATGCAAATATGAAAACATCCATCAGCTTATAAATTAAACTAAGATGTTGTTCATCTTCAGATTTGTTAACCACATTGATCATTTTGTGTTTCTGGGGGTTATTGGGATGGGATACGTTACCTGTTCATATACTTTATAATGTATATATTACTAGATCAGAAAGATCGGTTCTTAACCATAACCCCCAAAAAACAAGACAGAGGCTGCACTATTGCACGACCACAGCAGCATAATGAAGACATATGTTAAAGCAGCAGTTATCAACATTTTAAACCATGAAACAGTTCAGCAGTTTTCTACACTTGCAAAGCTGTTAGGGTTCGTAGGATTTTGCCCATCCATATGACTTGTTGACTTGATAAAGGTTTAGGGCCGTGTCCCCTGTGGAGTCCTGCCGGGGGGAGTGCAATAATGTTGGGTACCGGAGTCATTTATAGAAGCCATCCAGTCTATGTATAACCAAGAGGAAAGCTTGGTCCATAGTTGGCACGTGTTCATGTCAAACATGTTTTAGGTTGATTTAGACTCTGTGAGCATTGTCTCTTGTCAAATAGTGATGTCATTAACTGGATCTGCAGCCAGGGGGGAGAATAGTGACCGGCCTCAGATTTGAGTCTCTCGCAGTAGGGATGAGAGCATCTCCCAGTCTGAAACCATAGTTCTCTAGTGGAGGAAATACTGGATAATTTAGTTGCTTGGGAGCAATGTAATGCCCCAACAAGAGGGTTCAATATTGTGTTCATGATTAGATGAAGTGTGAGATGGACAGCAGCTACGATAATGTTGTGTTAAAGAGGACACTGGGTCGGATGGACATTTTTTTTTTTCAACAGCCCATTTCCATTTGGGAGAAAGAGATCACACAAGCAGCCGCACTCAGTTTCCTATGTAGGGTGTCTGGGATCAGCCTTAGAGACAGGGTGAGGAGCTCAGGCAGCTCGGAGTAGAGCTGCTGCCCCTTCTCTTGTGAATTGGCCCGCTGAGAGGGTCAGGTTACCTCCTGGGCCCTCCCATTAGAGTTTCTTCCTGATACGCCCAACTGGTAAATTCCCTGGGGGAACACAAAGAACACACTGGAGAAATTATCTGGTCTGGCCTGGAACACCTCGGGTTCCCTAGATAGATCTGGAAACCTTTGCCAGCGATACGGACATCTGGAATACTCTGCTCAGACTGCTACCCTCATGACCCGCTCTGGATGGGATGTGATGGAGAGATGGATGACTGGATTGATGGAAGGATGTAACGTGTCTGTGGACTGTTATTGCTGCAGTTTGTTGAAGCCACTATAATGATGGAGGGCACAAAGCCTTTACTGTAGCGTGCTTTTTCCATCAAAGATCTGTGTCTGCACTGGGATTGGAAGAGAATAAAGTTCAGGGGTGGCCTGGGGTCATGTGCTACAGTTAGTGCTCTGCGTGTGATGGCAGCATCAGGGAAGATGTGCAGAGTGGGAGTAGGTAGTAATGGTTTTAGCAGCATTGTGTGTTCTTTTTAGGATGTGGTTATATTGGTGACATTGAGCATGGATGGATGACGGGTAGGTGGGTGGATGAGTAGAATTACTATGTGTAATGTAAAAGGGAGTGCTCTTGGTAAAAAACAGAGATACTGGTCCTCCTCTCTGCTTTGTAATATGTACATGTTTGCAACAAGACTCCAACTGAACTCTAATTCTGCTTCATGGCTGGATATGAAAATAAGCAACTGTTTACCAACCTGCTCTCAAACGTTATGAGTGGTTAAACCAAATATGCTGCTTCAGTACATTTTCAAGAAGGGATCATTTTTAATAATATACCCAACACACTGCACTCTATTTCTGTCTCTCACACAAACACACACACAAACGCACACAGCGATGGACTTCTCTCAGTCCAGTATGTCAATCATTCACACACAACTGTGTGTCTTGTGTCTGTGTGAAAGTATTCTTGCCCTGAGTGCAGCATAGGGGAGTGTGTGTGTGTGTGTGTGTGTGTGTGTGTGTGTGTGTGTGTGTGTGTGTGTGTGTGTGTGTGTGTGTGTACACAGGACATGCTGCTCCAGAGGTTGATATACTTTATAATTCACTCCAGATGTAGAATGTTAGCCGCTGAACCAACATCACTTCTCTGGTCGATAATGTGTGTGTATGTGTGTGTGTGTATTTGAATGTGTGTGTCTTTGCGCTTAATGTTAATGTCTCACCCGCAGTCAGACATAAAAAAAAAAATAAGTTTCAAGTTTCACACACACACACACACACACACACACACACACACACACACACACACACACACACACACTCTCTCACACACACACCCACACACACACACACACTTGCATTATCTTGCATAAGTTTCAAATTGAAAATGTTTTATATAAGAATTATAATAACATTTCCAAGTGACTACAAGTTATTTTTGGTAGAGGAAATGTAAATTGGATATAAATTAGATTACGGGTGAGCTTCAAATGTCAGAGTAGAACAAAACTATTCTCCATCAGGCATGTCAGAGTGCAGTGTTATATAAAGTAAGGGGTCCATAGAGGGATCCACACGAATACACACAGACTCTGCGACATGTTGTCCAGCATCCTGCTGTAGCATGTAGCCCGAGGCGAGAAACTTTAACCTTAAACTGGAAGGTCAGTGGATTAAAACGAACAAATTATGAACAAGTGTCCACGTTCCTTTGAGGCACGTTAAACTTGAATACAAACATGATATAATAGTATAGTTGTAACTGCAGTGCTGATCTAAAAACAGGTACCAAGCATTACTTTTTAACATTATAATTTCAGCAGAAAGCAGTTACAAAATGTTTGTTATTGTTCCCATTCATTATAAAGTTTAATATCAATTTTGCTTCTAGGATTATTAGATCCAAGTGTAATTCAATATAATGCATTGAACTTCAAATGCTCAGCCTCCAAATGGGCAATACTTTTTTGCCCAGATGATTTATTCTGCCATTAAAATACAATGGAGATTAATTAATTGTTGTTTATGCTCCTTAGAGCATTAATAATGTTGCAATCTTTGAGCCACAAGAGCAACAAATTCAATTCCATTCCCATCATATTGAAAAAAAAAATAAAAAATGTTTTTGCTTCACCCATTCACACACATTCCTTCAGAGGCTGCCATACAAGGTGGAGTTACTAAAGGAAACTAACATTCACATTGACGATCAGGATCAATCAAGGTTAAGTATCTCGCCCAAGGACACATAACGTTTTGGCTGTAGGGCCTGGGGATGGAACCCTGGACCATCCATTTGGAAGAAACACCTCCAGAGCCCCAGCTACAACAGCGAGGGATACAGATGGAACCATTGCGTTTTGAAAAAACCCTGTCTCATTTGAGATGGTCAATCTTAACTACAGTATAGACAGAGATTTAGACAAATATAATTCAGTCTTTAGTAAAGCAGAGTTTAATATGCTCATAAACAGTTAACAGGCCGTCTGTAAAGCTACACGCTACAGACGGCTGGCTGGAATCTGATGTTGCAAGGTCAGGAGCGCCTTGTGAGAAATAAAAAACAGAGACTCTCTGTTGGAGGTTTACACAGCCTGCTCAATGTTTTTTTAATAAAAAAAGTGATAAGATGATCAATCATTAACATGAACAATGTTCAAATAGGACAACCTTATACGTTTTACACAACTGGTGTTTCATATCAGGATCTTCTGCTGTGAGGAAACCAAATGTTGTCCAACGTTCCTCTGGTCCCTGAAGGACGTTATTGATCATCAAGAAATAGCCAAGTATCTGTAGTTTCTGAGTAAAGTGTCCACATCTTGTCAACATTTTGAAGATTTAAAACATTTGAGCAGTGATTTATTACTGCAGTGCAAATTAGATGGACTGCATGTACATACCGTATGAAGCTTTATTCTAGTGTTTGGAACACAAACCAGCATTTGTGTTTCAAACACACATGGGAAACCGTGGCTGCGAGGTTGTGCAGTTGTCTTTCGATCAGAAGGTTGCAGGTTCGATCCCAGTCCTTGCAGTCAACATGTCGATGTATCCTTGGGGCGAGACACTTGGTATTCCCTGCCGGCATGTGTGAGTGTGTGTGAGTGTTAGCTTACTTTAACAAATGGCACATTGCTCTGTATGATGATGACTTGTAAATAGTGGATAAAGCACTATATTTGCATTAAATGCAACAAGTCATTTTTACCATATTTACCATACTGCTGGCAGAAGTTACTTTAGGCAAGGCAAGTTTATTTATATTGCACACAAGGCATTCAAAGTGCTTTACAAAAATGAGAAACATTAAGCGCAAGAAATAGTGTAGCGGAAAAACATTAGAAAATGGCATTTAAAAACAGTCATTAAAAAACAAAGAGTAAAATAAACCACAAACAAGCTAATATAGAATAACACAGGTATCAAATACATGAATAAAAGTTACAGTGCGGTTTAAGATATGAATAGTTCAATTGAAAGCAGCGGAAACAGGAAAGTCTTCAGCCTGGATTTATAAGTAGTAAGAGTTGCAGCGGACTTGCATGTTTCTGGGAGTTTGTTCCAGATATTTGGAGAATAATAACTGAACTTCTCCATGTTTAGTTCTGACTCTGGGGACAGAAAGCACACTGACAAAAAGGGAAAAGTGGGGTTGTTCAATTTACAAATATGCAGTTAATATATGAGACACAATGTATTCATGTTTCTCATCTAAACATCAATCAATCATGAATAACTATTTTAATCTTGAGGGATGTACATTCTATAAGTCTCAGTCATGTTAAGAAATAAGAAAAAAGTAGGAGATAGAATCGGAGGGACAAAACCCTCTTTAATGGTTACGCAGGCGTTTCCTTACCGGGGGAAAAATGCGTCATCTGCAGGAAACTGCGTCTGAGGGCATCTTAATATTCAATAAGCTATGAATGTTTTATATCAGCTAGCGCTGAGCCTATGAATTAGCCACGAGCAAAAAAATGCTAACTCATTACTGCACAGAAACTCACTCATAACACCCTTATTACTTATCGTAGCTGCACGTCCAACCCATCGAATCGCATTGTGAGATGACACAGCATCGATCAGTACATACATCATCGCTCCATGATAAGAACTCGCAAAGTTATTAACAAGAACAGACATCAAAACATGTGGCGATAGGTAGCCATTTCTGATAATCCATAAGCAATAAACCTGCTTTTCCGTTTCCAGATGTCAGAGCGAGAGATAGGTTCGCTCTCATGCAAAACTGTGTGAGCATTGCTCTCATTTCTCAATGGTAAGGTGTGTGTGTATGTGGAAATTCCCCTTCGATTCTATTGGCTCTAACGGTCAAAAAGAGATGTCAATCACCAAAATCGACCAATGGGTTCCAGAGAAACGGTAAAAACTGCCTTTTCCACCCAAATCACCTCACAGGTGGATTTTTTTTGTTGCTAAACCTCTCTAAAAAGGTCGAATGTCACTTGTTTTGCATCAATCTTGATACAGGGTACTTATTATATGTTGTACTTTGGATTCCTAAAGCTTTTAGTCTACCTTACCATCATCCAAGGGTAGTTTTCTGTCACAGTCTGCTTTTTCACTCACTTATTTTCTGCATTAACCTTCCTTAGTCACCTGGTAGTCACACCCTGTCTCTCTCTCTCACTCTGTTACACCCATCAGCTCCATTAGTATTTAGGCTCACTTCACTTTCGCCTCAGTGCCAGATCATACTTTGCAGCATGCCATTATCCTCCAGATTGCTCTCCCGGTTTCGACCCTGCCTGTCCCTGACCGGCCTGCCTCGCCTGCTCCCTGACCCCGTCTGTACCTACGACTCCCGTCTTGCTTTCTCCTGGAACCCTCGCCTGTCCCGACCAGCCCTTTGCCTACTATCTGCCGTTTTGTCTCCTACCAGCCTATTGCCTTTGATAAAGCTGGTTACAGACTAGCCCTGGTTTCCCGTGTGTTGCATTTTGGTTCTCAGCTCGTTTGTGTCAGAACGATCTGGCCAGAAATGGACCAAGCAAACACCGGGTCTCCTAGAGACCGCTTGAGAGGGTTGAGGATGCCATCCAAAGACAGGAGGTCACGATAGCTACCTTAGCTACCTCAACCCATTTTGGTTGCAACCTGGTTCCGGATGTCACAGGGGTTCCGGCAGAATATTTGGACTTTAAGGAGGTTTTTAGCAAGGCTAAGGCGACATCTCTCCCACCTCATCGGCCCTA